AGGACCACCTCCCTGCTCTCAGATGCTAGCTACGCCCTTGACTATATTGTAAAAGCGCTAACGACTTTACATCTTGGAGAAAGTATTATTAGACTATAAAATAGTGTCTAGTAGCTCACTGTGTCACTGTGTCGCGATTAATAACGTGGTGTAATTACAGAAAAAAGAGGATTACTGCATGACATATTGATAACGTGTGAAAGCTTATGTGAGGTATTTTCTATCAAGACAATTAAATGAATTTTCTGTGTGGTACGTGATAGTTGACGATTTTTTTAATCACGTCTGTTACAGAAGGCAAATTTTTATGAAATAGCTGAGAAAAACAGGACTCGATAAAAGTGCTGAATAAAACGTAGATTTATTGAGATTCAAGTAGATACTTTATCTTCTCGTCGAATTGTCGCAATAGGAAACATAGATATCAAAATTTGAACTTTTATTGACACTGTCAGTCACACGGTGTTACAACTTTTCCTCATACATTCGAATCCATGAACTGTCAATAGAGATTTTTATTGATCGAAGTGTATTTTACTGCATTAAGAGAAAGAAAAATAATTTTACTTTTCGGAGTTCAAACATAAACAATTTACAAGTAGTGTCTTCTGACAAAACATAACATCTTCGTAAGTTTCATGTGCTATAGTGCGCGTCTGTTTTTTTACACTGCAAACATATTTACTTGAACATTTACAATGCAACCTTTGCTATTATCCCCAAAAGAGTAAAAACCTTAAAATGGGAGTTTTAATATTATCCTAAAAAAATCTAGCATCAGAATCCTCTCCTAAACTGCGAACTGTCATATTAGTGCAAACTCCACGCACGCCGTACCAAATATAGTTTCGACACATCAAATATATATTAGACCATCAAGCTTTTTAGCCGTCTTCTTTTCTTGGCTTGTATATTAATTCTCAGTTTATCATACATGTCTAAACAGTAAAAATGTAACCATCGTACCTCTTAATACTGAATAAAATACTGAGAATAAAGACGTCGAGTCTCTAATGACCATTCGAATGTATCTAAAAGGCGTCAAGACATAAAACCGTCGAACGATTTTACGACTTTTTGACCTGAATCCAAAATATGAAAGAGCTTGTAGACGGAATGCAGGTATCGTTACTGGAAATAGTAGTACTGGAGTGTGTGACACAGTGAGCTACTAGACACTATTTTATACTCTAATAGCTCTATTAGTGACTAATAGCGGATACTTTTATGTTTAAGTTAATATATCCAGTATATATCCAAGTCAAGAATTTATGACTGGGTTTCAACACAACAAACTAGCTTTTAAATGAAACTTAAGAATTCAGAATCAGACCCGATGGACTTTCAAGAAAGTCGACAAGTGTATGCTAGAGATGTTCAGGGTAGCTGTTTACGGAGCCCTGGCCCTACCCTGTGAAAAGTTTTTGAGCCCTGACCTTACCCTATCCTTTGTAAATTTGAGAATTTTTCAATTACAATTATTTCTTTAGTTTTTTAAATCAGACATTACTTATCTAAAAGTAATTAGATAAGCAGAAAAACAAGGTATTTCGCTCGAGAAAAATAATGAGAGTTTGAACTAAAAAATTTTGTAAAAAGATGAAAATGTTGTTGTATTCGACTTTTGTTTCATTTCTTACAGTATAGTAAAACTGCGTACAGCGTTATTTTCACTTTTATTTGGAATGTGCGTCTTGAAAGACGTGTACAAAAATTTTTTTGTCGTCCGATTATGAACTGAATTATTTGGAGATCTGAGGGTGAGGCTGTGTAGGGTAAGGGTGAGTGGGGGTGAGGGTGAGAGTGAGCACTTGATGCTGAACGGTCGTTATTACTCAAATACCGGTCGCTCAAATGTCGGGGCGCTCAAGTGTCGGTCGCTCAAATGTCGGTCGCTCAAATGTCGGGGTCGCTCAAGTGTCGGTCGCTCAAACGTCGGTTAATCGTATTTCCTTCCCTTGTTGTGGAGTCCTGCAGGTTTAACAGTTTCGATCCCAACCACGTCACGAATCCAAACCCGAAAGAAGGTTTTCAAGATCTCGATGTCCTTCCTGAGTTTTCAAAACTAAATCCACCCCCAATCCTGTGTCCAGTCAGAAAATTTTTTTCCAGTAAAGTATGACTAGGAACAGAAAAAACTAACAAGTTAATGTTTCTTAAGACAAATTTGTCTTCATTAAAATGTTTCAACACAGGAATATCGATCGCTAAAAATACTGATCAGTGAAAACAGCTAGATGAAAATGATGAACATGAATAATTAACAGCCAAGAAGCAAAAACTCAATCAAAGTGATAGTAGTTTTAGTAACAGTGAAAATCAACAGGCTTAAGAAAATACATTTTTTGTAATATACGTTTAGCAGGCTCAGAAACAGATTTTTTCTTATCCTTATCTTGAATAAAATAATGTTACTAAAAAAATAATGCATCCTTCAAAGATGGAGCCTGATCTCGTTCGAATAAACTCAAACCAGCCCCGAATCCGAACCCGAAAAGAGTTTTCGGGAACCCACGAGTTCGGGATCGGGTTAAACCCGCAAGACTCCGCCTTGGAGTATTTACAGGATTGTATTCTGATTTTTACACTATATGTGAGCAGTCGATGATCGTCGCGATCCTTAACCAAACACACATTCTATTATGCAACAGATGATCAACCCTGTCTGAGGTGAAAGTTTCTACATTTAACATAAAAATAATATTTACGCTACAATATAGAGGTTACATGAATTCACTAAACACAAATGTTGTGTAGATGAAGGTCAAGTGCAACAGTTTGCACCCCATGCTCAGACTTTTCTTTTGAAAGCTTCATGAAACTTTTTCTTATCTATTTTCAGGTCACTATCTGTTGGATATACACACATGTCCAGAGATCGATGATAAAGTAGTCAATAAAGAACCCAAATCACTGTATATAGTGGAATTAGAAGCAACACAAATAGCACGCGAGAAAACTTTCTTAGGGTATCCGCATGCTATACCGTCAAAATCGCAATTTATCAGTGCCGGATGGTTTTATTGTGGCAGACATGACCGTGTATGCTGTATCTATTGCGAAAAAGTATGTCACCAATGGACAGCTCATGATGATCCATCAGCGATTCATCGACTTGTATCGCCCAATTGTCCGTACTTTAAATCGAACAGTAACTCTGTCGCCAAGTTAAACATCGTCACAATTATCAACGAAGAAAATCATTCAAATTATTCAATTGATGCAACAATATGTAATGAAATAGTAGCTAATCGAATTGGACAATACTCAAGTATACCAGTCCGTGTAAAAACATTTGATACTTGGCCTAGTGAATTGAAATCAATGACTGAAGATCTTGTTACGGCGGGCTTTTATTCAACTGGAATGGGAACTATTGTTTGTTGTTTCTATTGCAACGGTTCATTATCTGGTATGGGTCAAAATCATAGTCCAATGATTGAACACGCAAGATGGTATCCCAATTGTGATTATGCGCGACAGTTGTGTGGTACCGATTTATATGATCGAATTCAGCAGCTGTACGGGACTCATCACAGAGGTATTAATTTTGACTTTTCTGATCAAATTATTTATCATTTATGTATCTTTAGGCCAAGACCAGCAACTGAGTGTGAATTTAGTTAGATGCTGCGACAAATATTACATGTCAGAGTACAAGCTTTCCAATGGCTGTTTATCATATATAATAAAATGTTCAAATGCTAGTCACTTACCAACGCTGATTGCACTGTCCATGAACTCAACGCAATTAACTCCGTCTGACAACTTGTTAATAGAACTGGTCAAAACCAACTCAGATTTAAAAAGTATCTGTCAATTTTCTCGATTGGCACTTCATGCGTATTTTTACTTTTTGTTTCAGTGAACTTTGAAACAAATGTAGAAAAAAGGATCGGGTATCGAATTGAGCATCTGAACAATGACAGTGAGTGTATCATTGTACCACATTTAGCCATGTCCATATTAGGGAAGAAGAACGAAGAAGAAGAGAGATCAGGTAGACAACAACAAATACTAACTGACTTTACCAAAGAAATATTTTTGCGGAACTTCAAGTTGGAAAATTGATCGGTCAGTCAGTTAACGCTGTTCTACAGTACAGCTGTTACCGTACGTAGCTAGCTATACGGTAACAGCCCCATATATATATATATCTATGCGCACTGCAAAACAAAAACGGTGATAGAGATAACAAGTATAATTTATTCATTTGTGCATCTAGTAGACCAACAGAATTACAGGTCGGACCCTCTATAATGTAGTACCAGAAAGAATGTCAATATATGTAAAATTCTTGTAGTTGCCATTCTCTTACTTACCTTATTCAAATATGAAACTGATTTTCCTAATTAGTAATTACATTAATGAGTTCAGAAAAGTTCCCAAATCTTTTCAAGATCTTAATACAGAATTTTGAAGATATGTCAGACTCGGATCCGTGGTAAATCTTGAACAGATTCGTTGATGTATTTCAACTTGCTGTTCTTGAAAATTCTGTATAAAGATCTTGTCAAGACATTTCAAGAAGCAGAATCTTTAATGAACTTGTGCAGATTTTCACTTTCTACAAGATATGGGAACGTGTCTCTATTGAAAAAATCTAAGGGGAATAAAAGTGAAAAAGTCTGTCACTGTTCTACTGTGGGTAACACAGTTACGTGACTAAACCGAGTAATAAAATGTCGGTAACTTTAATTCCAAATAGATTCTTATTTAATGTGAAGATGTTAGAAATTATCAAACGAACCAAATATAAATGATCCTCGTCTTAAACTCGACGCAGAACATTTTTAGAGTACTAATGCAACAATGGCAGATTTCTTACGTTTTAGACAATGTTCAGAAACCTACATTTTCCCTTTGAATTGCACCATAACAGTTAACAGCAGTGAGGCGCTTAGAATAATCCTACGTATACGATATAGTAGACAGTCCTCACTGTTGTAGCCTTTTTTCTCAGAATTTTAGAATTCTGAACTTTACATGTTCAGAATAATAGTAGTGTTTCAGCTTTACGTTTTGTAATTGTAATCGCGCATCTAGTAAACCGGCTAGGGAAAAATGCGACATACTTCCAGTTTTTACTATCTCTTACATTAGTAAAGAAATAAGTAGATTTTGTGTCACATATCATCTTAAAGCTCGTCGAATTTTCTACAAAATAAGCTACGTATGATATCTTGATCAGTAGGTTTAGCCTTTGTAGTTTTAGGCGTGGTATCAGTTTTGCTGAGAGTCCCAAGGCTGGTATTAGGTGATCTCGAATAACCTCTATAGTAAATGAAGACACAGATTATCCAACATACTGAACCTTGTGGCAATGGTTTTTTCCAGGCAACGATGCGTAAACCCAGTGGAACTGAGTTTTAAAGAAACCCACCAATTCAGCTATAACTACACAAAAGTAAAACACTCCACTCTCACTCAAAATCCAACCAAACCATTTGGAACTCTGAGAAAATACTCCCCTTTCTTTGATTTACATGTTGATAGCGTTAGAAAAGTAAAACCATCTATTTTCTGAACTTGGCAGTTTGTAGCAAATTTGATGAGCTTTAAAATGGTATATAATAGAAAAATGTATGTTCTCTTGTTTGAGAGAAAAAAGGGCTACAACAGCGAGGACTGTCTACTATATTGTATATGTAGGATTATTCTAAGCGCCCTACTGCTATCAAAGCACTGCGGTTAACTGCTCTGTTACACACATTTTGTAGAGAATTTTAGGGGCTATTCAATGATGTATTTACCTATTTACGCGAAAGAAAGCTGATCTTTGAGCGATAAGCTATCGGCACCCTATTGATGATGAATTACTCGAATTTTAGTTACCAAAAGTGTGCAAAGTGACTTAAAACCGACTGATAATACTTTTCTGCTACTCACAGAAGCATTTTTAGACAAAAAAAAGTAAGCCGATTATCAGTCTTATACGGACCTCTCCTTTGTGGAAATCTACGTAAAATGTCTGCAATGTAAGAACTCTGACATCCGTCTACCAATCAAGAAAAGAAACGGTTCGAGCAATATTTTTAAAGTTTGCAGTCACGATAAACTAACACATTAAATTAAGAATAAGTATAATTACAAAGGACTTCTAGACTTTTGCGAAATCATTTGCAGGACATGAACTGGATAATACATTGAGTGATGACAATTTCGATTTGTCAATGCTACTTGTTGAAAATTCCAGCATAGGTAAGAGTGCATTCTACTCACGTTTTGTCGGCACACCCTTATGACTGCTTCTGTCTCATTTAGATCAAGAACAAATTCTAGAAAAACGACGATCTGTTTCTAATTTCTGCGTATTCTGTCAGAAGAATGAGAAACGTTTTGCCTCTCTACCCTGTGCACATTGCGGCCTGTGCGCTCGTTGTGCACAATCATTTAAGACATGCCCAGTGTGTGGTTGTAATATTCAACTTTTAGTCAAAGTTTATGCATGATATTTTGGTATTCATCAACATGAGCTACTACTACGAAAAAGCATGCATGGGATAATATAGTTACCGTGTGGCCACTACCTAAAATCGAGTGTACACACTTGAGATTTTCTAATGCCGCTGGTGATTTAATTGAATTCAGCTTAATATATTTTGTTGTTCAGGTAAATAATTTATTAAAACCCAATAAGGGTGTTATTGTTGAATACCACTTTTGTTCTCAGTTTTTGCTTCTATCTTACCTTCTATATTCTTTTAAACTAATCAACCACTTGTTTTAAAAGTAAACTTTGAATAAATGAAAGATTGTCCGCATGATTTGGTACCTGCTCTGATTTGAAATCAGGCCTCTTATTGCGTGATGGAAACTTACCATCGTAAATAACATAGTTCCCTTACCTGATCTGATAAGACTTATGTGCTCCATGAGATTTTTCAGCAGCATCAAGTTCTACAATTCCTTGGAAATTACAAGAATTGACAGAACTCGACAAGTTCTTAGTATTTTTAAAACAATATGCTAAATTTATAGTGAACTTCTGCCTGCCACCTAAAATTGAACATTGGATATTCCGCATTAAAAGATTTCAAAGTGGTTCGCACTGGACTTGTGGCAGTTTATAGTTGACTGAACCGTACTTTCTCGATAACAAGAACAGTTTGCGTTACTGAAAACAAGAAACGGTTTACCAGTTTCACGGTGCGGAACTATAGTTCTTTTGTGAACTACATAGGTGAAGTTAGCAGCAGATTCAACTATTTTCCAAAACATTGATTCTGACAACTGTGCCAACCTCGCGCATTGGTGTGCTAGATGCAATTTTGAATTTTCTATCCGCTGGCATGTTTAGCTTTCACGTTTATTATCCACAAAAGTTTTAAAAAACAAAATATGGATTTTTCCTACAGACAAAATCCATAAAACTTTGTATTTTGACAAAACATTTGCACTGAGAACTGTGCAAACTCAAACTTCTCATGTGCCAAATAGACCTGCCCTGGCTCTATCCGATGCTGTATCTAACAAGGATGCATCTCAATGTCAACCGTACAAAATATTTCAAAAACTGTTTTTTCAGGTAGTTTCCGATAGTATTTCGAGAAAATATTCGCGCTCAAACTTGTGCCAAACGAAATAAATAGTTCATCAGATAGACCGCGCCGAGCTCTATGCAACACTCTGGTATATATTGAAAACGTCGAGAGAAAAAATGTCGAAAGAATGGATAATGATGAGAAAAACAGATGTATTGATGATTAAAATTAGCTATAAAAAAGTATTACAGTGAACCGACCGACATTACCGCGAACAGGATGCGGACTCTTCCACGAATTTTTCGTAGTACACATTTGGGCGTTTTTGTACAAAATATTTCAAAAACTGGTTTTTATCATATAGAACTATGTTCAATGGTATGGCTTAAGTTTATCATGCCATCACTCGCGCAGCATTTCTGTTGTATGATTTAATAAGCGACTGAGAGGTTGAAAGATAATTGTTAATGTTGGAGGTATTTTTCTCAGACTGAATTAATTAGAATTAATTAATTCTACTTGTGGTCGTACGCTCATAGGTTTTCCATTGTCTGTTAGTTAGTGACAGATGGTTTAATGTTTAGGATGAACGTCTATTTCAATCTTTTAATGACGAAGAAAGAAAAATACAGGTACACTTCGTATACATTACTGACATCCATATTACTAGAAAAGGATTAGTCGATTATATGTTCGATTATTGTGAAAGATTTGATATACGTAATATATTCAATGACGGTTATTGAAATGTGGACGGGGCCCAAAGTAAAGCAACTAAAGAAGGAGAACATTTTCTTTGGTAATTTATTAACTTTACGCCGAGATAAGTTTATTTTTTCTTACAATTTTTACATTAACAAAGTATAAATAGTTGCTTCAAAAATAGTGACACTGTCGTACATATGAACTCCACTCGGATGTATGTCGTTGAACTTGAAATACTTTGTGCTGGGTTTTATTGTGGCTGTGAAATGCGCGGGAAGTCCACAGATACACCCGCGTAATTGATAGCTGAAGTAGGGAGGAAATTAGCTCTATTGCTAAAAATGTAGCTTTATTTCTTACATATGTCCTGATCTGAAGAACATCGAGCAATTGAGGCACTCTTGTTCTTTGTTTACCGATATTTATAATACACAGTCG